GTTTTTTGAACCAGGCTGTAAACACGTTTAATTCTGCTCTAAAGTCGGGCTTTTTAACATGGGAGTCAATGGGAATTGACTCCCTCTTGGAGCCAGCCTCAAGTGGCCACCCAGTGAACTGCAGTTWTTTGCACTTCCGTATTGGCCTCAGCGCTCAGCCCGGGATGTTGCCGCTTGAGTTTGACACAAACTGAGATGAAACAAATGCACAAAGTCTTTTAATGTGAAATAGCCATAAACTGGTCAAACTATATATGTATGTACGAAATAATATTTGATGCCAACATATCGATTTTTGTATCTCGTGATTCAGGACTGTGATATATTGCAGTACCAATCTTGTGTCCCACTCCTATAGGGATTCTTGAAAAAGCTAATTAACGTGTGTTAACTGTTTTGACACAAAGTACAAGTGGACGCGTGTTCTGCATCTCTTCTTGTGTAGGTAATGAACCTCTGCTGTGTCGTCCCTCAGTCTGACAGCTCTACATCTGCAATGAAATGCATTGTCCCTCTTCCGGGGGGTGGAGAGCTGTTAGAACCAGATGGTTTCTATTTGTCCTGTCTGTCTGATATGGCGGTGTATGCTGGGAACGCTGCTTCTGTGAACCAGCACTCCTCATCTCTGAGGCAGGCGGGGGGGATTATTTATGCTCCACTGTTCGCCCCCCCTCTCCGCCCCTCCTTCCTGTAGAGCTCTCCTTAAAAAGACACCGAGGACTCACACGCCAAGCAGAACCTCAGAGATACGATAAAATCCTTATTTTATGAAGGTGCGCTAAGTTCAACAAATTGAGGAACGCCTTGTAAAGACGGCAAGAAAGAATTCCTCATATTTCAGGAGGAGGCGACAGTCTCAGCAGATCTGTGGCCCTGGTTTTATGATAAAAAAGTCACTTATATTAACAGGCTTTACATGGCTATAACAGTGTTTGACTCCAATGTGAAAGATTGTATGCAGGATAAAACATCAGCTGTGCTCGAGCGGCACTCTGATCTGCAATGTGGAGCTGTAATTCTTTCCATATGGGATTAATGAATTGTCAAAACAGACATAACACAGCACATTTTTTGCCATTATCCTTTGCAGCTGATTCAATATTGAAGCGAGAGAAGCGTCTGCGCACCAGGAGGGTGCATTTCGAGAATGTGACGGTTTACTACTTCAGCCGGCGGCAGGGCTTCACCAGCGTGCCCAGCCAGGGCGGCAGCACACTGGGCATGTCCAACAGGCACAGCTGGGTGAGGCAGTACTCACTGGGTGAGTTTGCCGTTGAACAGGAGAGGATCCATAGAGATATGCTCCGGGACCACCTGAAGGAGGAGAAGCTCAGCTCAATCAAACTCAAGGTACGTGATTTGTGATATGAGCGTCAGTCAGTGGATGTCGGTATCAAACTGGCTGTGTTAGGAATTACAAACGACTTTGGTCTGAAAGACATTTATCTTTTTTTCTCATAGACCTGTCTTTGGGCTCAGCTCTTTGTTCCCTCACTTTTATCATAAATGACTTGGATGTGACTCCCTCTTGTTTTCAGCTGACTAAGAACGGCACAGTGGAGTCTGAGGAGGCCAACACGCTCACGGCAGAGGACATCTCCGATGACGACATTGACCTGGACAACACAGAGGTAGACGAGTACTTCTTCCTGCAGCCGCTTACCACTAAAAAGCGCCGGGCGCTGCTGCGTACCTCCGGGGTAAAGAAGATTGATGTGGAGGAGAAACATGAACTGCGGACCATCCGGATGTCCAGGGAGGACTGTGGCTGCGATTGCAGAGTCTTCTGTGACCCCGAGACCTGTGCCTGCAGCATCGCAGGGATCAAGTGCCAGGTAAGTCCCATGACATGCACATGAAAGGTGCAGGGAACTATTACTTTAGTTAGTTGTTTTTATACACAACACAGATCATCTCAAAATAAAATGAACTGCATCTTAAAGCAAATTTGTGCTTCCCTCAGGTGGACCGCATGTCATTTCCATGTGGTTGTACAAAAGAGGGCTGCAGCAATTCAACCGGCAGAGTGGAGTTCAATCCGATCCGTGTTCGGACACATTTCTTGCACACTATAATGAAGCTTGAACTGGAGAAGAGTCGTGAGCAGCAGCAGGCGCCCCCAGCCAATGGTTACCGCAGCGAAACCAACGACCTGGGAAGCGGAAATCCTCTGGTGCAGACCCAGCACAGGTTGGAATACTCGCTGTCCGACACCGGACCACAGACGGCTGGCGTGCACCTGCAGAACATGGATGAAATGGAGGAGCCGCTGGACGATGAAGAAGAGGACGAAGAAGACGAGGAGGAAGATGAGAATGAAGACGAGGAGGACAGTAGCAGCGTTTGCAGCGGACTCTCTGACTCAAGCACACAGAGTTTAGCGAACAGCGACTCTGAGGAGGAGGAGGATGAAGAGGAGTCTGAGAACTTTGGGGATGACGTGACGACCCTGCCGGTGTCGCACAGTGAGGTGGTCCCTCTGTCCTCTGTGCTGTGTTACAGTGACGTCTCTGTGGCACACGACAACCACATGAATGGAAACACTTATTTAATGAACTCCCCCTCGGCAGAGTACTATCAGCTGGGGAGCTCCAGTGCCGTCTCCAGTGGCCAAACCAGCCAACCCAGTGAACCCTTTGGGGAAGCCTTAGCATTCCAAGATCCAGTCGGCATGACCAACGGCAGCGCGGCACAAGGGCCGTTCAACGTGGCCGCCGGGCAGTACACGGACTATTCCAATCAGGCTGCAGAACAATACACAGCCAATCACCACTTCACCCTGACCAACGGTGCTCCAGCCGCCCCTCTGACCTGCTACACGGTGGATCCAGAGAAGAAGGTGCTGTCCAAGGCGGCGTTTGTGGAGCCGCCTGAAAACCAGAACCAGAGCCAGTTCCAGAACTACCTGAACAATAACTCCCAGAGTTCCTACAGCTCATGTATGACAGCTGAGCCACCACAGCAAGACTCTGGCGTTAACAGACAATCTGACCTGACCTTACTAGCGAACAGTACTAAGAACCTCCCTTTACCAGACCATTGCCCCGAGGTCACAGCCATTTAGTGAGCCACGTGTTCTTAAGTGTTCTTTTCACTGTTGCAACTTCTCTGGAGCCTGACCAAGTTGTGTTTGAATGGGAACATAATCATGGCCTTTTTCTCTTTAAATTATCTGACCTTGCATTTAAAAGCAATTCAAAGCCCGCCGGAAATTTCATCTGTAACTATAAAGCCATAGGATGATGGAAATGGTTCAGAGGAACTGAAGGTTTCTGCACTGCAGCGTGTCCGTAACTAAAAACAGAAAGAAAAAAAAAATCAAAATATCAGTTATGTCATGCTGTGCAATGTATCATGTAATTTAAGATGTAGAGTTCTAGTTTAAAGCAGATATTGTTCTGTAAATGTTACTTTTCTATGTCTACTGTTTGTGTCAAATGTGCAAAAAAAAGGTTTATTGTCAGTTTATTTATTGTTTCTGAATTATGTGCATACTTATATATTGTAAATGTTTTGATAACGACGT